GGTGCCGGCTTCCCTCCGCCGTCTGTCCCGCCACCCGGCCCTGTCCCTCCGTGCCCTGGCCAGCCTGAGCCCCCGGCAGCCACGCCACACCCCGCGGACTTCTGGGCTTTGGGACGAGAGTAGAGAGCAAGGTGGGGAGGGGGACAGGAACTTACCCTCATTTGTCGATAAATCCAGTCCGTAAATACGGTCACATTTCCATACACGCCTGGTCTGTTGGCTTTGGCACAGCCTGATCCCCAGCTCGTGTCCCCAATCAGCCACCAGATGTGACTCTTCATAGTGACCAGGGGGCCTCCACTGTCACCCTGGGGGACACAGCCAAGGGCGGAAGTTTAAGCCACAGCCCGCACACACAACTGGCCACGCCCGGAGGGATGGGGTCAGGGCGAGGGTCGGAGTGGGGGTCCCCGTGGCAGTTATGACACGGTGTGCGGGTTTTGTGTCCCCCCCCCCCACCAAGAGGGACAGTAATATAATCCCCAAAAGAGACTCTTCCAGTGACGACTTTTAGCCTGCATCAGGTAGCAGTTAGTTACTAAGTAAATTGTCGGCCGTATTTTAAAACGGTTGCAAAACTTGCTTCTGTTCCGCTCCCGAGCCGACAAAATAAAACCCTTCGGGGCCGGTGGCCGGGCACGCGCGTGCTTTTACACCATCAGTGTCACGGCGGCTGGCCACGGCCACCCCGGAGCTGACCCCCCGCGTGCCAGGGACATGGACCCCGTGTCCGTGGGGGCTGCGAGGGCACCCTCCAGTCACCTGGCAGGAGTCGATGGTCCCCTGCAGGTAGCCCGCGCAGATCATGGCCGGCGTGACCAGGTTGTTGTAGACATACTTGCTGTTGCAACGCCAGAGCTCGATGAGGGGCACCATGACGGCGTTCAGCTCATCCGAGGTTTTCCCTGAGACGGAAAACAGCGTCGGGCGGCCGTGCAGCCAGCGGCTCCCGTGGAACAGTGGCCTCCCTCCTGGGGACGCGCCAGTGCGCACCCGAGACCTCCTCCTCCTCCTCCTCCAGGGAGGCTGGGTCATCCCGACAGCTGACGGCTCGGACTTGGCACAGCTCTTCCCAATCAGGGAGGCCTTCCTGGCCCTGGAGCTACGGAACGCTCTGTGTTCTAGAATCTTCCTCCCTCTCCGCCCAGCGCCTTGGTTCTGGGGCTCCGTCCTCGCCAGACCGCTCCCGGGCCCACAGGGGTCAGGCTGTGTTTCCGTAACCCCACGGGGCTCCACCGACGGTCCGGTCC